CAATTTTTTAAAGGAGAAAATTTTGATATTGGCATAATACTAATAGCATTCCCTAGATTGAACTGAGAAGCTCTTTGTTCTAAATAGTAATGGTTTAAAAATTAATTGAAAGCATTTAACAAACAATGTTAAACCATTTATTGCAATCTCAACTAACACTTATTAAATGATTGAGATTTAGGCTCATTAGTATTAACAAGACACGTCGTATTGATTGTATAATCTAAAACTTATGCTCATAATTTAAATTTTGAGCAATAATTTTACAAATTTTAGGTGGCGAACACCATGCAGTCATTTAGTTGATTTTTCAAATCTAATATATACAAATAATATCTGGAATGTCAACATGGAGAGTGACGGGGGCCCTTTCATCACCACGATTGATTTTCAAAATATAGGTATTTAGTCCCAACTTTAATTAGTGATTATTTTCGGTCGACTCAATAAAGAGAATGAACTTCAAGTAGGTAATTTTTGGATTGAAGTTAATATTTATTCAAATCATCATTTCACATCATTATTGATTTAGTGATAGTCTAACTGGTCATGTCAAAGTATAGAACTGTTGGATCAACGAACTTCGGGTTTTATGATGATGTTTGATTCGATTATTTTTATGAATATACAATATATGCTAGAAGGAAATATAGGTAGTTTTTCTTTTATCTTCTTTTGATCAGATACAAAAGAAGTTATGCAAAAATATTATTTATTTTCTTGCATCGTCTTAATAAGATATCCATTGTAGCTGATATCTTTAAAATTAAAGGCTTGTCTGGTAACGATTCTAGGCAGCTTTTTAGAAAATTTTTGACCGTTAATGGGCCCCACATCTACAAGAAAAGTGGCCAGAAAAGGGACAGTTGCAGCAACCGCCTTTCAGAAATCATTTGAATTGTCAAAAGTATCCTTGTGTCGGATAAAAATAATAACAATGTAGGGACAAGATGACATTTTCACCTAAATTTCTACCTAATCGGTTGGTGAAGTCAAAGTTTGTTGCCATTGTCTGGGCTCCATTTACTGTAGCCAACGGACGAATTTTTGATTATAATTTAACAAGAATCCCTCCCAAACAGCACCTAAGAAAACTTCTTCTTGATTTGCTAGAAAATGCATCGTCAACATATTATTTGTATTATTTGATAAAATAATACAAGTTCTTCTAAAACTTTCAACAATATTTATGCACCTGATGTTATATTAACATTATTTTCGGCTAACATTAGATTCAAAAAATACTTTTTATCTTGAAAATAGTATGCTTAGTTGCACTATCAATTAAATATATATCTAAGCAATTCATTTTGAATTTATGACAAAATAAATATTTTGAAAAACGTTTATAATCAAAAGGAGTTAAGCAATACTTTGATCAACTAGAAAAAAAAAATTTACAATGAAATGTCTTAAATTTTAAGAAAAAAATAACTGCGACTAACTTTTAAATCAAAATAAATTACTAAGATAATAAACAATAAAATAATCAATATTATCGAGCACATCAACTCCCATCAAATGATCAATTGAATCCAATCAATTGGACCATCATAATCAGCAAAATTTATTTTTACTTTTCTTTTTCCTCAATTGATTTTTGATAGAAATCCATAAGATGTTTTCTGTTACGGCGGCTACGTGTCAATGCCCTTTCTTTCTACATCTAAATCAATTTCTTTGAGCCCTTTTTTGGATTTTCTACTTTCGTTTGATTTGAACCTTTCAAAAGTGTTACATCGTTGCTAATAATTTTGTTAATTATTTTATCAATAGTTTCTCTCATGTGCACGTCCATATCCATATCCGTGTCCATGTGTCTATGTCCATATACTAGTCTTCATATTGCATTTGCTTTATGCAATGGTACAAAACCAGTTGGACATAAAAAGTTTCATCAGCAATTCATTATTTTGTTTAACAACAAGTACTTTTTGAAATTATGTTTACGATATTGTTACTGCATAAGCACATTCAAAACATGAAATGTGAAAAAAATTCTTCAACATTTCTTTATCAATGATTTTTCTCTCATAAAGTCAATTTTGAACATATTTTAAACAGTTCATAATTGTACTTATTAACAATTTTGAAGCCTTGCAAGTGATGGTACATTCATTCATAGCGGTCTGTAGGGAAGACTTCAATCCTCTAGTGATCAAATCTTCTCGTCAACTTTTTTTCAAAGAATTTGTGAATATTTAACAATGTGGTATTCAATTTTTAATCCATTATGAATATAGTGACGAAAGAAAATAAGTGTTTTTGCACAATTCTGTAGGAAGTTTTTGTTTCCTTCTTTATTGTTTCACATATCTTTTGAGATAGGATAAACATTAGTATCAAGGACCCATAATAGATAATTTCTGGTGATAAGTGCGGATTTTTGCACTATTTCGGGACATTAAACTTAGATGTTTGTGAATTTCATTAGCGATTTATTACTTAATTTAGTTATTTTTATTGTGTAGGTAAAAACCCGACTTTGAACGATGATTAGAAGGTATTTATGCCAGAAAAGACGAAAAAGATAAAGGAAGCATAAAGACGTTGAAAGATAGATGTTTCTTAAAAAAAAATCAGTGAGGCGCCCAGCCCGAGCAGAAAACAGAAACTGTAGCGCCCAAGCGCCACTGTTCCAGCTCCTAGGCGCAACTCGGGTCATTTTTAATTGTTTTCAAAATTTCAGAGACCAATGCTGCAATTTCCTTTAGGTTTTAGTTTAAAACATTCAACCAAACACAAGAAAAGGGGATTTTTCTCTGGGAACTGGAGGAGAGCAGCTGGTTCTTCTTCTTCTTCTTCTTCTTGTCTCTTGTTTTCTTTCTTTTTCCTTTTCCTTTCACCTATATTTTCTTAAACATTTTGGGAAAGTTTGGAACATGGAGATGGTGCATTAGCTTGGAGAACATGACCCATTGATATTGAAGAATTTTCTACCATTTCTTTCTTTATCAATAAGTTTTTCTTTTCACTTTTTCTATCAATGTTTTGTAAGAAATTGTTAGTTATTTGTAAATATTTCATAGGTAACTAATTATATTTGTGATTAGGGATTATTTCAAATCTAGAATTATTTGTGATTGATATAGCTGCTGTTGGCAGCAAATGTGTTGCCAACAGGCAGCATGCAGCTAAAATAGCTGTCAAATAGGTAGCAGATTTTTCTCTTTTTCCTCTTTTTTTTTTTGGTGAAATACGGGCCGGCCCGGCTCGGGCCTTGGCTCGATGCCTTCGAGCCAACAAACCCGTTTGCCATCGCTGACAATGTGTGATTTAGTGACTAGTATGTGATAGCAATCATAAATTTTTGAAAGATTTCACGAGTTTGTTAAATTTAAAAGTATGTTTTGGAAGTATGGTAATTATTCAATTTTTTCTAATTAAATTCGCAATTATTAGTTGATTTTTCAAATATGTTTTTGAATAGTGATTTTTTGAATAATATGTGGTTAAAAAATAAGAAAAATTATTTGAATTTACCAGTAATATTATTTTATAAGATAATGTATAGTTGAAAATGAGTTTTCTAAAAATAGATTTTTGAAAAAAATAAAAAAAAATAAAAGGCCCAAAGAGGGGCTAAGTTCTCTCTCTACGTTCTTTGCTCTTAGAGCATCTCCAACCATGACACCATTTTGCACCATTTTTTGGTGTAAAATTGCTCCAACCTAACGCCAAACTTTGCGCCATTTTGGTGCAAAATGGTGCAAAGTGTAAAATGTCCCTTTTGCCTTTATTTAACATTTTTCAAATAAATTTGTTGAGAGTATTTATGTCATTTGTGCTATATATTTTTTAATACAATAAATTAATATTAATATTAATAATTAATAAATTAATTAAAAGACATGATATCATGATATTTTTATTAATATTAATATTAACATTTCCCAAGTATTACTTGATATCATGACTACATGCATAATAATGCATAACATAATTATTGAGGACGAACGTAATGTTGATGCACCAGTTCAAGAATGGACGGAAGCGTTAAGTCCAGAAATTGAGTTGGTTGAAGACGAAAATCGACATTTTCAGGAATTCCTTGCTCGTCATAGACGAATCAAGGATAAAGAAACTCACATTGCACTTTGAAATGCATTAATCGATCATTTGTGGGATGAACATATGAATTCTGAGAATTAAATTGCAAAAATTTAGCGACTTCGTAATATCGTCTATCCAAATTCGAAATGCATTGTACTATTTTCTAATGGCATGATTTCATATTTTCGTTGTTATTGTATTTTTATTAATTGTTCTATGTTTTTTATAGTTATTAATGAATTTAATCTTTTCCGTAATTTAACGTAATTATTTATTTAGCAATTTATGTATTTATGAAATAATTAAATAAATAATATTTCAAATAAGTAAATTATAAATAAAGAGTATTAAAAAATTATAGGTCTACATGTAAATAATGTTATTAAAAAAATTGTGATAAAAAATAAGTTTAAATAAAAACGATTTTGAAACATGTCGCACAGATGAACTCTAAATATGTTATAATAGTTATAATTAAGTATGTAAACAAATAATTAACAAACAATTAGCTAATTAGTAACAAAATTATGATAAATTAAGGGTTGGAGGAACAAATAATTAGAAATTCTCTATCTTCATATTTCCAAGTACTTTAAAAAAAAAAAAAATCACAGGGCGAGTTCGGGACGGGGCATCCCCGCCCCGTGCCCTGTGACCGGGCGACCATCTATGCCCCGCCCCGTGCCCCGCAACGGGACGGGTTTTTTGCCCCATTCAGGGCGGGGCGGGGTAAATTGCCATCACTGATGGCAGGGTGAAGAATAACGTCAAGAAAAAGGTTTAGGTACAAAACACCAAAATCAAGACTTAAAAAATATTTTATTAATTATCTCTAACTACGGGACGGGTTTTTTGCCCCATTCAGGGCGGGGCGGGGTAAATTGCCATCACTGATGGCAGGGTGAAGAATAACGTCAAGAAAAAGGTTTAGGTACAAAACACCAAAATCAAGACTTAAAAAATATTTTATTAATTATCTCTAACTAAATGTAACAGCAAAAAGTTAGTCATCATGATGTACAAAACTCGAGATCAGTTAGAAGTTAGAACCCAAAACAGGGATTGTTGTTATAAATTAGAACCAAGGGTGCCAGGTTGGATCCATCATGCACAAATTTCTGGGAGTGAGGGCAGCTTCAACCAATTCTGTAACACCCTTCTGCATAGACTGTGGTAGACCCATGCCATTTTCCTCCTATTGCAGATCAACATCAAGTAAACGAAAAATCATGATTGAGAGAATTGGCAATTTTTTTTTATCATTATAATAAAGAATTATGATATTTGTACATTCCTCGGTGACATCCTTGTTGACATTGTGTGTGTTGTCAAAATCTGAGCCATTGATTATTTTTAAGTGGGGTTAAAATCAAGAGCAAAAATGTTGGCTGCCTCACACAATGTCAACCAGACTGCATCTGTAGCAAAAAAATCATAAAAGAGTATGTAAAATGTAAGCATACCTCCTCAGCGATGATGTACTGCGGTGCTATTCCATTGATCCGCCCTATCACCTGCTCCACATTTGTAATGATCTTCTGTTTAAGGTCCACAGAATTCAAAGCACCACTCCCAACAACTAAAGCAGGAGGCATACCGAGTGGTCTTCTCCAAGACCACGATATCAGCTCATCCCGGAAAAACATGGCCAGATGATGCCATATGTGCTGATTTTGCTGCAAAACAAATTCGAAAATAGCATTTATCAATTCTGCATACAAAGAAAGTTTGTTTTAAGCAGAGAAACCGGATTACACTTACTTTTTGTGAAGCCACAGCTTGAGCAGCTGCACACATGGCTGATACGATAAGGCCATCCACTCCAAAATGAGAGAAAAATGTCTGCAGATTCCTTGTCAAGCGGAAAGGAACTGGTTCAGTAAACTCGATCATTCCATTTGCATCATATGCTGGATGAAAATCTGTCTGGAATATTTTCCCCGTGTTTTTAGCAAAAAGAATCTTATTCGGGGACCTTCCTCCAATTTGTAGCGTGAAGGACATAAAGCTTGAAAGAGCCAACTGAATGGCAAATTGCTTTTTAAATAGCCACAAGTGATTTCCACTAAATAGAGTTTTATACATGTACTGGGAGAATATGTTGTCTGTCACAATACCCTTGGTTATCTCATTGTATGCTTGAAGGCGAAGATCTACCACAGCTTCTGGTGATATCTGACCGCTTATAGCTTGGTTCAGTTGCTCTTTGAAATACGTTATCGGTAAGTCTGCCTCTCGGTCATTTCTAGCACAATGGTTCTCATATACCTCAAGGAAGGTGCCGTACATCAGATCATCTTCAACCATTCGCACCTACATAAGAATTATAGCAATGAAAAAAGATGATTCTAACTTGATTCCAAGTCAGAAATGGATGTACAAGTGCCTTTAGGAGTTTTGATGATTTATTAGGCAGTAAAAAAGCAAAGCACACATTAAGCCATCATCACCACACATCAGAAAAATATATTTCTTGAGCTATGTTTATGCAGAAGGCTTCTATAAGCACATTATGATGCACGCACACAAACCAAGAACATATCTCAATTTGTATTGAACAATAAAATACTAAAAGAGTAATGGAGAACAATAACAAAATTATTCAAGAAGTAAAAGTAGAACCGCAATTATCACAGGCCTAATTTTATTACCTGAGACCAAACTGGTATGATGATTGGTGTGTGAATGTAGATGTGGCGGCGCCTTGATTCATTGTGCTTATCAAACATTCGGTTCATCATACGGAAGAGCTGCAGGATTCTTTCATCACTTCTAGCATTGGGTGTCAAAGATGTTTGTACTATAAAATGGCGCTCAGAGCCATCAGAGCCAATCAAAGTCAGACGCCGGAAACTGCTTCCATGCCTTCTCACAATTGGCACATCAGCTCCAACCCTGTCCAACTTTACTGTATGATCGGGTGCTACTTCCTGAACCAAACAAGTTAAAAGCATTTTAAGTATGATCTTTACAACTAGAAAAGAAAATGACAAAAAGAATGTCCCATATGCAAAACCTTGCCTGGTGGACAATTGTTAAGAGGCGTCATGCCTCACCAGTCAACACAAAGTGTGTTTAGTGATTATTATCTGACCTACTCTACTGGTATTAATTCTTAGTACTCAGCTTCCTACCCCTAGTTGCCCAGGCAGAGTTGGACCGGATCCTTCAATTCACAGAGGAAGCAACCATAACACAGATAAACAAAGTGGCTTGATAATATCTTATAGATTGACCACACAGCAAGGCTGAAAGGGAGCGTTCTAGTTATTACACTCTTCCAACTTGATTTTAAAGGATCTAATTTTTCTATTATCATCAGAAAACGGTTAATGTAGTAACGCTCGATGAATTTATGAAACTACCTGGTTTCTCAAGAATGAGTTACATCCATACATCATAAAAAAGCCATGCAGAAGGTGGGATATTGAAATTAGCACCATACCATCATATAGCATAATTCTAGCACAGTTAAAACCAAAATATAGCTGTACTAAATTGTGCTTGAAATCAGATCTATAATTTAGTTTGAAACAATGCATAATGTTAAAAGCACAGTAAGCAAATATTATATCCACAGATTTCGTACTATGATAAATATTAGTTAATCAAATTATTAAAATAACCTGATCAACAAAATACTGTCCAGGAACTTCCACATCAACAACGTGGAAGTCTCGTAACACCCTACTTTCCTCCTCTAGTTTCAAAACAGCTGGAAACCGATCCTCAACATTGCTCTGAAGAATATTTTTCCAGTGCTTCAACCGTTCAGTTAGTTCCGCAAGTGTGCCTGGAAATGTGGCAGCACTTTCTGGATCAAGATCACGTTCAAAATTCGGCTTGTATTCTTCCACAAATTCAACATGCTTGTTCACAGCATCAGCTGAAAAACAAGCCCTGCAAACCCCAGAAAGCTCCTTTTTGAGAGACTGGGGAACTTCTCCCGTAGTTGCAGTTGGGTACTTATAACATCGGTGCAGCAGGGCATTAACTACTGCCAGCAACCTCTCCTCTGGCAATGTAACAAACCTTGAGCCAATCTCCGTCAGCAAAATCTGGAAAGTAAATGTCCCATGAAAATGCTAATCAATTTATTCTCAACATAAATGAATTTCTTAGGATCACTGAAAGCCATATCAGCTAAACTAAATACAAAAAGATATGAAACAGTAAAAGAAATTCTACTTCTGACATTAACAAAGTACTTCATGAGCACATCACAACGTAAAATATTTACTCTAATGAAAAGAAACAACCTAGCATATGCTGTTATAAAAGAAAAAATGAAAAAAAATTTACCTAGCTTAAAAATATTAAATATAAATTACCTCTAGTTCACTAGCCAGATTGGTGTGTTTGCTTCTAAGAGTCTCCATTACGTCTTTTGCAGCATCAAAAGCACTGGCAGCAGAGGCAGCCAGTCCCAGAGCACTATTACGCCTTAAAGCATTCTGGCCACCATCATTGTTAGATGAACCCTGAGGTAATGATTGGTCATTGACAGAAGGCACGCTGCTTTCAGCAGTAGCTGATCTCCCAGATTCTTGTACCTGAGAGCTACTGCCGTCATGCGATCCACCAACTCCAGCAGATTGAGTATCCTGATGAAGTTGATTGTCAGAGGTCAATGAAGCCCCAAGACCAGCCACTCTTGCACCTCCACTGGCCAAGCTAATAGAACCAGGAGTACCAGCACCTGATACATTTTGTTGCATTCTTTGCTGAGCCATTACCATTCTACCAAATTCAGATTTATTTGCCACATCACGGCGCTCAAGTAAATATGTGCGAAGCCAGTAATACAATGCCTACATTTTAAAAGGAAGAGAGGCATTACACTAGGAAGATAAATGCCAAAAGACACACTTGTTTCGACAAGCAATATGACTACCTGAGGATATACAGTGGCAACTTTGAGCAGAACAAGTTTGCAATGTGTAGCTTCAGTCCTTTGCAAGGATAATAAAAGCTGGGGAATCCAAGAAAGCCAAACCCAGTGAGGTATTTGGTCCAAATACTTATCAAATGCCCTTCCCACAGGTTCCCCAGGGGTGTCAAAGGTAAGAAGATAAAGAACGCGAGCTAGGTGGCTTCTGGAATTTGGAATACCAAATTTGATCCCCTGAAGAAAGCAGCTTACGGCATATTCTAACCAAATTTCCTCATGGGTTTCTCTGTAAGCCTGAGAAAACAGACATAATAAGCATTAACACTATTAGTGTATAGAAATTTTTATTACCAAAAACGAATAATGCATACCATGTCACAATAATTGCCCCAACTGATCCATCCTTTAGGCAAGTTCTTGAAGAGACTGATGGCATTTGAATAAGCAAGATTTGCACCTTCACCGTCACTAAGCTTCAACAGAAAATCACCCTTCAGGCGAAAAATTTCAGCCTTGTTTTTAACAGGAAAATGTTCCAGGTTAGTACTATTAATCAAATTAAGACCACTGATTAGCTCTCCTTTCATTTCCAAGTACGCCTTCGCTTGTTCTCTTATTTTAACAAAAGCTTCCTGCAAAAGCAATAATTCAAAAAATTGTCATATGTCACCCCTAAACCCAAAGTAATAATCCACTCTCTCCCCTACCTGCCAAGAGGCAGATGTAAGAGTAGGACTGTAAATGCAGGTAAAGGAGGTTGAGATAAAATGTAAAGGCAAATCCACACCACCTGAACTTCCATTGTAGAGTGGCCGTACATTTTCTCCAGTATAGACACACAAACATCATCCAAGCCATGCTTTCGGGCAATGTGAGCAAGTTTATTGACATTCCATGCCTTGTCACGGAATCCAAGATGATGCAACTGTGAATTTGTATTACCAAAATCCTTAAATGCATCTATAACTACATTATACATCTCATTCCTCCACTGAAGCAAATCATACCAAACAGATGTATTGTCCCATTCATTCGGTGTCCTCAATCTCCATGTCTCGAGGATATCCTTGAGATCTGCATACAAGCCCCCATGAACACCAACAACAGAATTAGCAGGAAGTTTGTTCCCATTTGCAATATCCACAATAATCCGTGCTGACTCTTGAACTTCAACTAGTTGCTGAAACTGCTGCAGTAGGGGAATTCTAGCATTAATGGACATTTCGGGCAATTGCCACCAGTGTTCCAAAGCTAGATCAACGCCTTTTCCCACTATGCTTTCAGCCTCTGCTACTCCATTTGTATTTTTCTCATGAAGATAAAAATATGCTTGGATTATACAGAGCTTTGCAGTTTCTTCTACTTGAGCCTTTGAAACAACATGATCTTTCAGATATGCCCAATCAGGCTGTTTCCACAGACTATCTAGTAGTATCTCATAATTTTCAATCTGTTTGCCAAACTCCACCAAAGCTTCCCACTGACTCAGTTGAGTAGCACAATGGAGCCACTGTTCTTCCCAAAGACACATCTCAGCTTTTGGTACAGTATTGTTGTAAGTACCTTGAGTTGCTTTCACCATGCCATGGTAGAAAAGGCTTTGTGCCTGTTGCCAATAACCATGCTGAACTAGAGACAGTCCAGACCTAGTTTCTGCCGTAATTGTTCTCTTCTTCCATAAACCACACCTCATATCTTCTTCGTTAAGCAATCGATAAAGCTCTGCCAGAGACTCAGAGCACTTCATGTCATTCCAGGACAACATTACACGACTTTCCAGTAGTGTCAGTGCAATGTGCCATGCATTATAAGTCTTTCCAATGTATTTGATTAGTTCACTAGGCATCCGTGGCTGAGGATGACATAATTGAAGTCCTTCCGAAAGAGCTTGCACAACATTTGGCCTATGTGCTTGCTGCTTCTTATGATAGTCCTTTGACAAGAGGGCTATCATGGGCTTAGCTAGTGTTACCTGTTCATCCTTGTGCAAGGTCACCCAAACAATAGGAAACACCAAGACCCACAAATGATACGCAACATTTGCATCTGCATGTGCCAGCTCTCTAAGTGGGATGATAAGGTCCAATACCTACAGTGAGGCCAGATTTAAAAGCAATTACAATTACCTTTTATACAAAGAGCAAGAAGGACAACCAGTATTTGAGTTTTCAATAAATTTAAAGCAATTTCAAGATGGTCTGCTCCTATCAATAGACACCCCCACGCCAAACCAAATTCTAAAGCATAAATCCATCCAATGGGGATATTTGCCCCAGAAATATCATAAGCCAAGAAAAGGAAGAACCTGGTGGCATAATGGCAGCATATGTCATCATGGCTATGCCACATGCTCTTCATATCATAAGTATTCCCCTTATTTATTATAAAATTCTAACCAAATTTCCTCATGGGTTTCTCTGTAAGCCTGAGAAAACAGACATAATAAGCATTAACACTATTAGTGTATAGAAATTTTTATTACCAAAAACGAATAATGCATACCATGTCACAATAATTGCCCCAACTGATCCATCCTTTAGGCAAGTTCTTGAAGAGACTGATGGCATTTGAATAAGCAAGATTTGCACCTTCACCGTCACTAAGCTTCAACAGAAAATCACCCTTCAGGCGAAAAATTTCAGCCTTGTTTTTAACAGGAAAATGTTCCAGGTTAGTACTATTAATCAAATTAAGACCACTGATTAGCTCTCCTTTCATTTCCAAGTACGCCTTCGCTTGTTCTCTTATTTTAACAAAAGCTTCCTGCAAAAGCAATAATTCAAAAAATTGTCATATGTCACCCCTAAACCCAAAGTAATAATCCACTCTCTCCCCTACCTGCCAAGAGGCAGATGTAAGAGTAGGACTGTAAATGCAGGTAAAGGAGGTTGAGATAAAATGTAAAGGCAAATCCACACCACCTGAACTTCCATTGTAGAGTGGCCGTACATTTTCTCCAGTATAGACACACAAACATCATCCAAGCCATGCTTTCGGGCAATGTGAGCAAGTTTATTGACATTCCATGCCTTGTCACGGAATCCAAGATGATGCAACTGTGAATTTGTATTACCAAAATCCTTAAATGCATCTATAACTACATTATACATCTCATTCCTCCACTGAAGCAAATCATACCAAACAGATGTATTGTCCCATTCATTCGGTGTCCTCAATCTCCATGTCTCGAGGATATCCTTGAGATCTGCATACAAGCCCCCATGAACACCAACAACAGAATTAGCAGGAAGTTTGTTCCCATTTGCAATATCCACAATAATCCGTGCTGACTCTTGAACTTCAACTAGTTGCTGAAACTGCTGCAGTAGGGGAATTCTAGCATTAATGGACATTTCGGGCAATTGCCACCAGTGTTCCAAAGCTAGATCAACGCCTTTTCCCACTATGCTTTCAGCCTCTGCTACTCCATTTGTATTTTTCTCATGAAGATAAAAATATGCTTGGATTATACAGAGCTTTGCAGTTTCTTCTACTTGAGCCTTTGAAACAACATGATCTTTCAGATATGCCCAATCAGGCTGTTTCCACAGACTATCTAGTAGTATCTCATAATTTTCAATCTGTTTGCCAAACTCCACCAAAGCTTCCCACTGACTCAGTTGAGTAGCACAATGGAGCCACTGTTCTTCCCAAAGACACATCTCAGCTTTTGGTACAGTATTGTTGTAAGTACCTTGAGTTGCTTTCACCATGCCATGGTAGAAAAGGCTTTGTGCCTGTTGCCAATAACCATGCTGAACTAGAGACAGTCCAGACCTAGTTTCTGCCGTAATTGTTCTCTTCTTCCATAAACCACACCTCATATCTTCTTCGTTAAGCAATCGATAAAGCTCTGCCAGAGACTCAGAGCACTTCATGTCATTCAAGGACAACATTACACGACTTTCCAGTAGTGTCAATGCAATGTGCCATGCATTATAAGTCTTTCCAATGTATTTGATTAGTTCACTAGGCATCCGTGGCTGAGGATGACATAATTGAAGTCCTTCCGAAAGAGCTTGCACAACATTTGGCCTATGTGCTTGCTGCTTCTTATGATAGTCCTTTGACAAGAGGGCTATCATGGGCTTAGCTAGTGTTACCTGTTCATCCTTGTGCAAGGTCACCCAAACAATAGGAAACACCAAGACCCACAAATGATACGCAACATTTGCATCTGCATGTGCCAGCTCTCTAAGTGGGATGATAAGGTCCAATACCTACAGTGAGGCCAGATTTAAAAGCAATTACAATTACCTTTTATACAAAGAGCAAGAAGGACAACCAGTATTTGAGTTTTCAATAAATTTAAAGCAATTTCAAGATGGTCTGCTCCTATCAATAGACACCCCCACGCCAAACCAAATTCTAAAGCATAAATCCATCCAATGGGGATATTTGCCCCAGAAATATCATAAGCCAAGAAAAGGAAGAACCTGGTGGCATAATGGCAGCATATGTCATCATGGCTATGCCACATGCTCTTCATATCATAAGTATTCCCCTTATTTATTATAAATAAATTACCACATATTTTGAACGCGAATTTATTCATTAACAGAATGAAGAACGGCAGAGATTGAAATTCTTTTAGAGAAAAAAAAATGTAATTATACCTGAAGTTTGCTCATTTCACTAAGAAACTGTGCATGCTTCAAGACGAGGCTTTCAAGTGTAAGATGAGCAATATCTGAACCTTCAGGAATGTCCATAGGCATAGGCTGCAAGCCAGTAGAATCAGGAATTGCACCTGTAACAAGAAGAGGTGGAACTTTGGCAGAGTTTGGAGCAAGAGTAATGGGTTTATCCTCAACTAGTATAGCCAAAAGAAGATCAAGGCCTTGCTTTAGCCAGAATACATCACTTAAAGCCTCCCAGTCCTGTACTTCAATAATGTACTGCAGTCTTGTGAATAATGTTTTCTCGAGGGAATCGTGATAAAGCGAGAAGAATTTCATCCGAATTTCAGGATCCTTAGCACGCAATCCAAGCAAGAACCTCCTCTCTACATTCTGAAACACTTCTTTACGTAGAGAAAGAGGATACCTGGAAGTCAACTTATTTAGATGTGAATATACTGATGAAGGTGGTTATAAAAAGAGAGATGCAGAGGATGTAACTTACTTATTTGCATCAGCACAAAGTCCATAAAGAAGCTCGAGATATTTCCTGTCCCACTCTTCCATGGTGCTTGGAGAAAAGTTATGCTTATCAACTTGTGACAACTTTTGGAGTAAAGAAACAACTTCCTTAGGAGTAAGAAAACTACTAGATGCAACGGGAATTCCTGGTTTACTAAATTCATTGTCAACCCAACCCTTTATTACATCTAGTATGCAGAGAAGTACAGAAGGATCAGTGCCCTTCTCAAAGAGCAAGGAGGTCAGAATTTGCGTCACTGATCTTTTGCATTCTGATACAATCATGACCCTCTCACCGGTCAGTTTCAAGACAGATTTTAAATTAGCAATGACAACGCCGACATCAGCACCTTGACGAGAGGAAGTGACAGAAGAATCTGCATCTGTTCTCAGACCCTGGATGAAGAATAAAACTAGAAGTGTTGGTCCCGAAAAGCATGTGAGAATGAAGTTAAATATATAAAGAATAATATTGTATTCTACTAACATTAAAACTTAACTGCCACTGTCAATGACAGAAATTTATCCTCAGCAGAAACAATAGAGCTCTATCCTAACTATTTAGCTAGAATCCAACTATAATCTAAATTGGGAAAATTTAGTGCACTATGGGACAGAAAAACTATGGTAGACTATATCTACAAGCACTACCACTTGAATTTTTACAAAAAAAAATTACAACAAATAATTGGACATAAATAGGAGACATAAAAATTGTGTGATGTCATACAGGTTTGTATGTTACATATGGAAAAATAAATACAAGATTAAGTAAAAGCTTAGTCATTTATTAGTTTAGTATTTTACTGCCACAACATTTAATAAAAGATTAGTGAAGACCTATTATGAGGAAAGTTCCCGACATGAGAGTTTTTTACACTGTAATAAAGATTCAATTCCTCTACTTGCATGCATTAGTACATACATGTAGGTAATACATGTTACGTATATTGATGTATGTGTTCAATAGAAGTCCAAAATAAAATCTGCTGATCATTAGGTCTCATTACACAAAAATTCAAAGAATTATAAAATACACATAATGCTTCAAAAAGCAAACTTAAGCTTAAAGAATATAGTAGTTATAGGAGATTTGACGTGTAGATATCTTATCCAAAAAATACCATGCAGGTCCCAAACTCATATCACAAGGTCTGGAAAAATATGACAGGCTATTTTTTTGTCTTCCAAATCCCGCCATAACTGGACCACTGTATATTTTTGGTGACAAGCTAATGATAATATATTCAGAGAAAGGCAAAAATAAATAAATAAAAAATAAAAAGGGACACTTTTTGGTGACAAGTCTTTTTCACTGTAAATGACAGATGCATGAACGATTTGAGAACCCAGAGATTCACCAACTATGAAACCATGCAAATATATGGAATGTGTATCACCAGAAGCAAAGACATACTTGTTTTGCATAAGATCCACTCGATGATCCAAGATCTCGTGCAAGGCGTTGAAGGACATGAACTAGATTAACAGGATCAATCAATTTTCTGTGCACATCTGCTAAGGTTGTAACAACATAAAGCACAAAGCTAATCATGCTAGCAGAATTATCTTCTCCAGAAGCCTGAGGAGCTGCAACAGCAGAACAGTGCTTCTTCACAAGCTCCTCAACTTTTTGATACAGCATCTTCACTTCTTGTGGCGTGCTGACTGCTTCTGGAGGAAATGCAGCAGAAACCATTTTCAATAGTGAGCACAACAAGTTTCCAGTATCTAGCAGCTTGAACTTGAAACATGGTTCTAGAATCTGCAAAATACATTCCAATAAAAGGTAACTTTCATGCATTGGCATATTAAAGAGTTGGCAACCAAAATCATGATTCCCCAAAAATACATACTTGAGAAATCTGGTTGATATTATTTCGAACAAACAAATGAGGTTGCTTCTCTAGGACTCTGTTCATAACATCTAGACCCTGGGCTAGGGCTGTAGATGGATCCTTCGCCTGAGATGACGGAGTACTGTTTAGCAGCTTTTCTAAATAACTGAATTTAACATTAGCATTAGGCCACACTTCCAAGGCTTGTGATAGAAGCTCCAGAGCTTGTTTGTACATAAGACTTGCCTCCTTATCTTTTGGCTCTATCACTAAGGCCACCTGAATGCAGAAAAATAAAATGAAGCATTAGCAAGACACCAGGAAGACTATACCCAGCAACATAGGGACACAGCTGATTTGCAATTTGATTGATTTGCATCTGGGAGGGAATTAATTTGATTGTTTTCCTTAAACCTTGTTTCTATACTCGTCTTTGTTTATTATTTCATCTGGGAGGGAATTAATTTGATTGTTTTCCTTAAACCTTGTTTCTATACTCGTCTTTGTTTATTATTTTACTTAGTTATGTTAAGGAAATAACATCAATGCTGTACAATCATCCTAATTAGTAGCTTTTTATTCCTATAAATGGCGGTCAAAGCATGTAGCCGAGTGGTAGTTGTTTAAATAGAGTATTAAGAGTTGGCTATTATTTCAATTCTTTGTCGATCTTTCGGTATTCATTTCAACAAATCAATGAATATTTAGGCTTGTTCATCGTTTCTGTATGCTTCTGCTATATCTGGTGGGTATCAGAGATCAAAGATCAGGACGCTCTTAGGGTCCATGAATCGCTGATTGCCAGAATGATATTACATAGAGATAAAACAACTTCATCAACAAATCTCAGTGTCTTCAAAGAAGGTTGAAGACTACTCCAACGATGCACGGATGTAGTGGTCTTGTAGTCCTCAACAGAGGACTCCAAAGGCTAATGAAATATTTTCATTCATTTCAATCTTAGAGGCGAATGGACGTTAATTCAAAGGAGGGTTACAACCCATTTTTCCATCGAAACTAACGAAGGTGTCCTAGGAGTGGGGGATTAAACTGAAATTATAGGTACCAATATGGCTAGTGTATTTGAGCCGCCCGGCTACTAAAGTAGAATCAATTGAATCTACACTCGAAAAAAATTTGGTTGTTCAATGGTTAATGATATTAGGCTCTATTTGGTTCCCATTATTTTATCAAAATGAGTTATAAAATCCTGAATTTTTGGAAAATGTGTATTTAAAAAGTACAAAAAAAATTGGATCTACGTGCAAAATATTTTATTGTGAGAATGTGATTGAAAATGAATTTGAGATAAAATAAGTTTTGAAATAATGAGAATCAAACAGGGGCTGCTAGATGGATTAATTCAGTTGCCTAAGGATCTCCCAGTTTACTACATTGTCTTCCTTGTTCAAGCACACCAACAAATGTATAAGAGTGACTTTGATCTCCCAGTTTACTACATTACCTTCCTTGTGCAAGCACACCAACGAATGTATAAGAGTGACTTTGAAGGCCTAACATTTCCTAATAATCAGTAAGAGGGGCCTTCTACTCTTGATAAGGCAACCATTTTGAGTGATATTTAGCTGGTGGATACCCAATGAATGCAACTAATAATTGGTCCATTGGTGTAGAAAATGATACAGAAATTTTACGAGGCATCGAATGAGAAGTGGCTACAGATTCAAGGATGAATCTCTCTTGCGGGGGAAGATGATGAAGCATTAGCATGACACAAGGCAGATTATGTGCAGCAACATAGGGACACAGCTAATTTGCAATTTTTATTGATTTCTTTTAAGTGGAAATTAATGTGATTGTTTTCCTTAAACTTTGTTTCTATAATTTTTTCTTGATTTATTACTTTCCTTATTTATGTTAGGAAAGAACATCAATGCAGTACAATTATTCTAATCAGTTGCTTTTTATACTGACAAATGATGGTCAATGAATGTAGCTGAGTGGTGGTTGTTTAAATGAAATATTAAGAGTTTGGTGTTATTCCAATTCTTTATCGATCTTCCGATATTCATTTTTACAAATCAACAGATTATTGACTCTAAATATTCAGGTATTCATAGAACCAACGAATAGTAGGCTTTTTAATCGTTTTAGCATGCTTTCACTACATCAGGAAAATGAAGCAAAATTCTAAGCCCACGTGTACATCACTCATCAATGAAAATCCTTTCGTGCTCAATGATTAACCACTAAGCTCAAAAGTACCCCTTTCTTCTCTGACATTTGTCCAAAATAAAAAAATAATTAAAAAAACTTAAAGAAGAGTGATAAATTTCTTCTGTTTATTTAACTTGCAGCTATAGAATTTTAATTTCTTCAGCAAAGGGAAAGCAGTGGGTACAGAGGAGGGTGACGAAACCTTAGTAGTTCAATAAGCTAACTATAATAAACTTGGCACAATGATATGGTGGATCCAAAAGTTGTAACAGCTCCAAAAATGTGGGAAAAGGTATCACGAACAATACCATAGAGCCATAGCCAAGGATCGATAGAAAAACAGAGAAACCACTTCTATGCAGCAAAATTCAACTTAGAATTAATTCATAACTCCATTAATATGGTCTAAACTGTTTGTAGGAACAAGTGTTACAAAGGTGTATGGAACTGATAAAAATACAAGGTATATATTTGAATTGTTGAGCTCCAAAGACTTACTTACAAGACGTCGTCCAGTATTCATAAGGGTGAACTGCATGATAGATTCATCAATCAAAAGATTCTACCAGTAGACAGAAAAATTCAAGGTGGAAACTTGAGAATTACTAAAGTGAAATAGGCTTAAGAATTACTAAAGTGAAATAGGTAGCTATACTTTGCGATAATTAGCCAATATGAATCCAATTTGAAGAATATTATAGGATAAAAAGTTTAAGCGTAGCAGTGACTGTACTTCAATTTATGAATTTAAAATCAAAAGAGAAGCCAGATAGAAAGTCATACTCTTATGAGGAAATTGATTATCATCTCTTCCATAGCTGCATTAGGTTTGAACTCTTCATCAGGCTGCCCAGCAGATCCAGGGGTTTCGATGTTAGGAATCGAAGAGGCACCACCGGGAGACGTGATACAAATGGATTGCAGACCAGGTTCAACCTTTATTTGCTTAGTTGAATCTTCAGGAAGTGTAGATCCATCAAGGGAAGGCCGTGGATCCACTCCAGCTGAAGCATGACTCAGTACATCGGTATTATGACCCATGCCATCATTATTAGACCCTTTCTTCAAGTCACTTTGCCTTTGTTTTTCCCAATTGACAACCAACCCAGCAAGTTCGATAGCAAGACGCCTATTTTCTGCAGCAGTATTATATGGTAATCCAAGGCGACTGAGAGCATTTACCATCTGAGGGACAAATTGAGCTCTACAGCTGTAAAAGAGATCTGAGTGGCGGACAATGAGCTGGAATATGTGGATAAGATTGGGAACTGAGTGACCTTCCTCAACCAGGATTTTCTTCGTGTAACGTATCCATATTGGCATACGGGAATCACCAAGAGGCAATCTTCGTGGAAGTGCTGGCATTAGTATGTCAAGGGCTTGTCTGACCAACAGTTTATTTTCTGGTTGGCAAGTCCTTAATAGTGCGACAAAAACCTATATTTCCAAACTGTTGTTAAATGTGTTGTGATTGACTGAAGGAAACAATACATGAGGGCATAAACTAATGAAATTAAATGCATCAAATGATCAGTCAACCAGATTCTGCAGAAGCCCATTGAGTTTTATACTCCACTAAGGTTTTATTGGGAAATTGGGCAGCTAGGACTTTCAATCACCTTAGTTAGTAGTCCAAGGTAAGCTGTTTCCATTGTGTAACACCGACTAAAAAGCACACATCACAGGCAGATGACACAGCGACAAACAAGAGTAAAAGAAAAAATTATGCTCTTGAAAATATGTAACAGAAGCAAACCAGAAACAAGAAATTAAGAAAAATCTGCGTATAAACTAGGAACTGAAGCTGATATTCAGAACTTCAATGTGTATGATAATTGAAGCCTACTTATGTCACATCACAAAGCTTTTTAATGGGATTATGACAACATGTTTGGAGGGAGTATATTAAGCCCCTGTTCGGTTGGATCAAATTTTGATTAAAATTTCAGTCAAAATCAACAATTAATTTCAATCATACATTTCATAGAACCCACAACTTTTATATCTTTTCAACCACACAATTCATCTTTTATCAAAATCTACTAAAAATCAGATTTTTAGCTACACCAAACAGGAACTAAATGTTTAAGCTATGTTTTGATGAAAAAAATTATGCAATTACCTGCAGTATAATTTTCTCAGGGGCTTGGTAGGCCTCCAAAAAGTGGCAAACATTAACAAATGCCCACTGCTTGCTAGCACTATCTTCACGCTTGAGATGATTCCAACCAAATTTGATTAGTTCCTTCCTGTGGAGAACAAGGTCATTCTGAAGGTGCTTGAGAAGCAGAGTAGCAAGCTGCAGAAGCTCAATCCTCAAGGGCTCATCATAATCAGCAGAAACCTACCAAAATAAAGAGAAAATGAATGCTCAGTCCCCAAACAACAGCAAGATAAACTCGTTAGCAGTACCCCCAATAGTCAAACCTTTGAACACAGAAAAAATTGTTTACCTCTTCTGGAGCGTCAAGCAGTTTGTCAACAATTATCTTGATCATAGCTGCATCAATGACCTCCCAAGTTTGGCCATTTTGAAAAGTATGAGCTAACATTGGTAGAATGAGCATTTGCATTACAATTACCATATGATCATGGCCTAATTGTTTTAATTGAAAAATGTTGAGAAAATGAAGAAGTAAATCTTTTTTCATGTTAGGTGAATAACCCTCAGCAACCTACGCAAGAAAAAAATATTCAATTAGCTCAAAATTAGGGAAAAAATTTTAAACAATCAGAGAATATCAAATATTTTAATTATGAAAATAATAATCCCAAACACATTATATCTTGAACATACCTCAATAATATAGAACTCCTTTAAGAAAGTGAAATCTATGCGAGTTCGAAACAGGAAGATGGAAAGAACTTCAAATAAAACATTAACCTCCGATCTATCATGTCTCAAGTAATTCAGGTAACATTTGATTAGCCACTTGCTTTCTTTCACCTGCACTTATTTACCATAAATTCGAGAGAGAGTGAGCTAGTATATAGAAAATTTAACCATCAATATTAAGTGCAAATGCACTGATATAGATAGATGAATTAAGTCCTATGTAGAGAAGGACAGAGACACCTCACAAGATCTCATTTGAGTCTTAGAATGCATATTCAGAAATTCTAAAAGATCTCAAGCGCTGTTAGAATAGAGACACGCCTCACAAGAAAACTATTTCAATGGAGACGCAGACCAATCTAGAACCACCTAGAATACCAAGAAATAACTTAACCCAACATACCTCTCAGCATGTGACAAATTCCAAGGGATAATAAAAATATTGAATTTCTGAGAATGATAAAATTACCAGAGTCCAGTAAAAATATAAGAAATCACATGGAAAATCATTGAAGGTTTTTTTATGCCTACAAGTAAAGATTATTTCAGTAAACATTGTTAGATATACCCATGTCCAACCCTTGAGAAATAGCATGCAATGACACACATAATAAGTCCCTAACACAAACAACTATTGTTACCAACAAACCAAATATGTCTTGTATATTTTCAGTAGTTATATATACATCTTTTCTTGGCAAACCATAAGTGTAAATAATTTTTATAATGTCATATTAAATATTTTTTATAGCCCATGTTTGATTCCAATTTTTCCTAAAATACATTTTGCTTTCTCTTATTTTCAACCCCATATTCCTCATTAAAATAATATTACACAAAAATCAAAAAATTTTCCTTCTTTTTTAACCACACATTCTCCATCAATCCACTACTCCAAAATACATTCTTTAAAAAGAATGTGGCTCAAACACACCCATAATGTAATATTTATTTATTTTTATTTTTTTATAGGTAATCAGAGAATTTTATTCCTTAAAAGAGAGTACACGGGAGGTATACAATCACTTTAAGCATGAAAGGAACAACAAGAAATTAGGCAACCCTACAACAGGATATTTAGCCACTGCATTAAACCAAGTATACAAAGTCAAGTAAAATAATTCTCTTATCTGCTCTGTTGTCTTTGTTTGGTTTTGGAAACATCGATCGTTCCGTTCTCTCCATATGCACCATACAATGCATCCCGGGATAAGATTCCAGAGAAGTTTACTATCCTTATCACGAAATTTTCTTCTTCATGCCCGCACCACGTCTTCAATACACCTAGGTGGCACCCAATCCATTGATTGAGAAACCAGAATACTGTTCCAAAACCAACGTACACCATCACAATGAAAGAATAAATGATCAATCGTCTCTCCATCCTTCTTGCACATATAGCACCACTCGGTTACATAAAATCATTTTCGTCGAAAATTATCCACCCTTGACACCTGCCCCCTCATAACTGTCCACAATAGAAATGCTACCCGTGGAGGCAATGTACTTTGCCACACCATCTTCCAAGGTAATGAACTCTCCACAAATCCCAAAAGGGATGGAAAGTATGAGCGGACTGAAAAAATACCATCTCGAGCTAACCTCCACCTGCTACAATCACCCTCTCCTACCCGAATTTGTATCTCATGCAGAGCGGTCAAAAACAACGAATAATCTTCCAATTCCCAATCCTGTAAACCCCTCCCAAAAGTAATATTCCAACTATAGCCCCCATTATGGATGTCAAGTACATCACTCACCATAGCAGCAGGCTCTAACGCAATGCAGTACAATGAGGGAAATCCCTCCTTTAGCGGTTGATCGCCACACCAACTATCATCCTAAAATCTAATATCAATGCCATTTCCCACCACAAAATTTAGTTTGTCCCTAAAATCACTCCATCCCTGTCGGATATACCTCCACAAACTCACCCCATAGGAGCCACGACCCTCAATCGTACACCAACCCCCCTCCATCACACCATACTTTGCCCTAATGATTTCTCTCCAAAAGCTCTCCCTCTCCACTCCAAATCGCCACAACCACTTGCCCAATAAAGCCTTGTTAAACAAAACAAAGCTCCTCACTCCAAGCCCCCCCCCCAATCCTCATAGGCAAACAAATAGTACCCCAATTAACCAAATGTATTTTCCTCTCCTCCCCTAACCCTGCCCACAAGGATTCTCTTTGAAATCTCTCTAATCTATTTGCCACTGCAACCGGAATAAGGAAACAATGACAAAAAGTAAGTGGGGCAATTTGAGAGAGTGGATTTAATAAGGGTAAGTCGGCCTCCCTTAGAAAAATACATACGCTTCCATCCTGCTAACCTCCTCTCCATTCTTTCCATAATACCATTCCAGATGTGTGTACTTTTAAACCGTGCCCCTAGCGGGAGGCCTAAATATAACATAGGCAATTGTGCAATCCTACATCCCAATATGCCAGCCAACTCCTCCACGTTAGTGACCTCCCCAACTGGAATAACCTCAAATTTCCCCAAATTGATTTTTAATCCAAACACCGCTTCAAAACATAGGAGCAAACGACGCAGATTCCTAAATTATTCATAATCCGCATCACATAAGATCAACGTGTCATCTGCAAATAGCAAATGAGACACCAACAATTGGCCAACCCTAAAGCCCCTTACCAAACCCTCTCCCGCAGCTCTTTCAAACATCCTACTGAAAGCCTCCATCACAATAACAAAAAGCAATGGAGATGGTGGATCTCCTTGCCGCAATCCTCTACTACTCCGAAAATAACCCTCCGGCGTTCCGTTGACCATAACTGAGAACGAAACAGTAGAAATACAGAACTGAATCCATTTACACCACTTATCCCTAAAGCCGCACCTCCTAAGCATATATAAAAGGAACCCCCAGTTCACATGATCATATACCTTCTAAATATCGAGCTTACATAGCATCCCGGGAATTCCCAAACGCAATCTTGAATCAATGCATTCATTCGCTATAAGCACAGAGTCTAAAATCTGGCGATCTTTTACGAAAGCATTCTGAAACTTGGACACTACTTTCCCGAGCACCTTCTTTAATCTGTTCGCCAAGACTTTCGCAATAATCTTATACACCCCACAGATTAGGCTAATAGGGCAAAAGTCCTTAATGTCGGTTGCTCCCGGTTTCTTAGGGATCAGCACAACAAATCTAGCATTAGAACTTTTTTGGAACCTACCACGTTCAAAAAAAATGTAAACACATCCAAAATTTCCGATCGCACCACCTCCCAACAAGCCTTGTAAAATGAGAACGAGAAACCGTTCGGTCCAGGGGCCTTATCCTCGTTCATGCTAAACACTAACTCCTTGATTTCATCCTCCTCAAAAGGTCGCTCTAACCACCCGGCATCATCCTCCATGATAGTAGAAAAATCCAATCCTTCCAACTCTGGCCTCCACTCAAACTGCTCCTGAAATAGATTCTGATAGAAATTCACCAATTGGCTTCCAATTTCGAGTGGTTCTTCATAAGTTATCCCATCCACTTCCAACACTGTGATCGAGTTTTTGCGCCTATTAGAATTAGCGATCCTGTGAAAAAATTTAGTACATTTATCTCCTTCTTTCAACCAATTGACCCTAGATTTCTGACGACAAGCAATCTCCTCCATCTCCACCAACCTCTCCAATTCTTCCCTTAATGCTCTACGTTTCTCCTTCTCCTCCCCAGTACTCCATTCTTGGATTCACCGACTCATCAATCTTGGAAAGACACTGAATTTTACGACAGTTCACATTGCCCACAACCTCCTCATTCCATTTCTTTAAATCCCTTTTCAAAGACTTCAACTTCTGATCCAACACAAAACTAGAAGACCCCCTGACATCGTAAGATGTCCACCAAGTCTGTAATTGCTCCCAAAAACCTTCAACTTTCAACCACATTTTCTCAACCCTAAAAGGCCTTCGTCCTCCACCCATCCTGTTCCCAGTTAACATAATGGGGAAATGATCAGAGTACACCCTCCCCAATCTTCTCTGAATGATATCTGAATACTTAGCCTCCCACTCTCCGCATATCAAGAATCTGTCAATACGAGAAAGAACAGGTTCATCCCGATTGGATGACCAGGTAAAATCTCCTCCAATCATAGGCAAATCCACAAACATATTCTCCCTTATAAAGTTTGAAAAATCCTCCATAGCCCCCGTGAGTCTCCCACAGTTCGACCTCTCAATAGGAAATCGAACCACATTAAAGTCACCTCCTATACACGTTGGTAGATTCCACCAAGCCATCATTCCAGCCAGTTCATCCCACAAACCCCGTCTACTGTCATCAGTATTAGGCCCATAAACACCTATGAACATCCACTAAAATCCATTCCCAATGTTTCTGAACAACATCGAAATTGAGAACAATCCAACACTAACCTCCTCCATCTCAAGCACTCTGGTGTCCCACATGACTAATATGCCTCTAGAAACCCTTGATGATCCCATAAACTGATACCCTACATGCTGTCCCCCCCATAAGCTACTAACCACCGCCCTCAAGATGACCTCCATCTTGGTTTCTTGTAGGGCTGGGCAAATCTCCCGAATCGAACCGAACTCGACAGTTCTTGTCAAATTAAATACCCGAACAGGTATCTGAATTGAGAACCGACAGGTATGGTTCGGTTCTCGGTTCTAGACCAAGAACCGAAGAACCGAATCTTTCTAATTTTTTTTATATTGAGTAAATTAAATTATTTTAATTTTTCTAAACAAATTAATAAAATCCTAAATCCAAATTTTTGGCCCAATAATTTGTTTCATTTCTAATTTTTTTAATTTTTGGCCCAATTACCCTTTTTATTGTTTCATTTCTTAGCCCAACAAGATCAAATCCACTAAATAACCTTAAACACCTACACTAAAGTGCATAACATTGTCTCGACTCTCGTACTCACTCTCGCAGCCTCGCTAATATTCCAAAATTTATACAATCGTCGACCGACACTGTGACCTCCGATCGAAGCTGTGACCTCCGCCGACCGAAACTTTGACTGTAGTAATCATTTGAACAAGGTAATTTACTAGTCTCTAACATTTCAAAATCATTGAATGTATCATTAGTTGTTTTTATATAATGTTATAAATTTTAAAAAATTTAATTATAGTACAGAGCCGAGCAGAACCGAACGGAACCGAACCCGAATTGTTCCATAATTATATTTGAACCCGACGGTTTCATTTACTATATATCCGAAAATTTTGGTTCGGTTCGGTTCGGTTCTCTTAAGAACCGAACCGACCCGCGCCCACCCCTAGTTTCTTGTAAGCATACAAGATTCGCTCCCCAGCCCCTTAGCAGATGTCGAACACCCATCCTTTTCCCAACTTCATTAAGTCCCCTTACATTCCAGCTAATGATTTGTGGTATCATTTCAACAGTCCAGCATCCCTCCCCAGTACTCCATTCTTGGATTCACCACCCTTGCCATCATAATTAACTAACCATTCGAGCCTCTTATGTTCACGATCGCCCTTTCTTCTTAATTTACCTTCTTGTTTACTGATCTTCTGTCCCCTATTGGCCTCCAAATTCTCAAACAATTGTAGTAATCTGTTTTCGTATCCATCACAAGACACGCCCATTAACTTACTCAAATCCTGAATTTTCTGTAGAACCCAGTTCGAAGGTGGGTGTCCAGCTTCGAATCCAAACAATTCCCCTGTTTCCTCCACCTGTATAACATCACTTTCTATTTCTCCTTTCTTGGCTCCATCTACCCACAACACCAGTGCTTTTTCCATCCCCAAGTCACTTACCTTCATTGACTTAGAGTTCCTTCTATTATATGTGTTCGCAACCCTTATTGTCAAAGGTGTCACGTCGTGCTCTATCACCCCTGACACTACATGCCTCGTCCCTTGGTCACCTAGCAAAAGCCCATCATCGCGTGGGACTGTGTCCATTGCACTTATCATTACTGTCTCCAAGTTCACCATACTTGGCTCCCCTTCTTTAGACAAAGGTACCACCTTTCGATCTATATCGGTCCCCGCGTCGACCTCAACCATATCCAACCCCTCTAAAACATCACCTTTGTCATATTTGGATTGTCCCTCGTCCGTTTCAATCCGATCAATAGACTCGCAAGTGATTTCGGGTCTTCCCCGCTTTACTTGATTATGTGTCGATTCCTTCTTATTCAGTCCCGATGCTTGTTTTCCAACAGCTGGATACTCATCCATGCCTACTCCACACTTGTGACAACATAATAACTTCTTGGGACCCATTTCATACCCACTTCCCACTAGCCTAATCAATTCCTCCAACGCTCCTTTTAATTCCTGGACACGGGCCATAATTTCAGCCCTATTCAAACAACAATCCTGACATTCGTTTACACTGACATTGACAGTCATCTCCTTTTGCTGTTACATCTGCTAGTCAGCATGCTTCGAGGTGTGTAAGTTTGCTGTTACGTCTGCATAAGTCAATCTTTGTCGATTACGTTCATTCACCGATCGACGTTTGGCCTTATCCCCAGCAACAAAAAAATCAACAACAGTTTGAAATACCCGCGAGAATGATGCTCATCCTTCTCCATTAGCACCTTCCGGCACCATCATAACTCCTTTCCTACGCCTATCCCCATACTGTGCTATCATCAAGTACCTACCACGGCTATTCGCACAACGCTGTGCCAAGAAGGTTCTTGATGACTCATTGAACCTAGAAATGAATTCCTCATGCTTACTAGTCACCCTCAACTTGTCCACCATATTCACCATCCAAAGTGCACAGAACCTTACCATGCTAATTGCATTCGATATCTTCGAGCCCCATTCGGTCAATCTAACAGCAACAAGATTGGTAACAGAAATTGCAAACTCGTTCGCCTCAACTCGAAAACGATGATTGAAGGCCACATCGAATTCATCCACAAGCTTCCTTCCCTGATTGTGTGTGAACGGCATATTAGACGGCAAAACAGGCATCGTTACTGGACTGGGGATATTCTGCCTGACATTCTGGTTCTCCGGCGCCGGCGCGTGACTACCACGCACCGCCGGACGTGCCGCTCCGGCGGCCCGTGCTCCTCCCCGACCTACCTCCGGCATCGGAACCGCCTGCACTGTGCTCCGGTCAGCCGCGTCTGCCTGAATGGTGGCTAGATTTGGTGTGTTCTAGGTTTGCATCCCAGATTGGTGTGGCTTTTATATGTGGTGTGGGGCCGTATGGGTTAGGGTTTCCGTCCGACGCGATATTGCAGTCGCCAGTCAGAGGAATGGTCGGAGGTGGATTGGCGTTGGGTCGCTGGTCATGGGTTTGGGTTTTAGGTTTGGATATTAGGGAGGTCATAATGTAATATTTTTTATTTATGTAAAAGATCATGAGGGTGGCAATCATCACAAGGCTCAGAACAGGTTTAGGAAATAAAAGAGTATAAATAAACAGATAAATACTAGCTTACCTGGGTGGGATCAGAGAAAGATCCCGAATAGGTATAGAGTTTATTTAAGAGTGATGAAAAGTACTAACAAAAAAATTAGTATATATATTCAATTATACTTGGGGAGATTGCAATTTAACTTACTTGCGTTAAGTTCAATCCCTGCTCATTTTGCAATCGGGAAATTCTAGCTGGGGACTTCCATAATAGAACCAAGGTATCGAAAACGACACGGTTACTGTGCAACCAACCAGGCATCAACTTAACCAGAGTTTTTACTAAAGCAAGACCATGGAAATAAGCATCCGATGTGGCACCAGAAGTTGGAACCGATTGAATAGAATTCTCGCTTTTAGGAGTAACAAGGCCTTCTTCACTCATTATAGAAGAATGATTGAAAGATGCCTGGGCAGTTGATGCATCAGATTTTTGCAAATGTTCAGGGAAAGCACTTTCTATTATCTTTTCTGGTGTCTTTGCAAGTTCCTCTCTCAAAGGTTGGCCAGCATCTGACCGTACTATATACATAAACCTGGATTAAAAAATAAGTAAATAAGGAGGAGAAACTATCGTTGGTGATTTCAACTAGGATGGATCAAAGTCGTGTGTTCAACTTACCTCCTGAAATACTTGGGTTGAGACAATCGAGCAAGGAAATAATCAACAGCAGCTGTGGGATAGCGATTAAGAAATTTCGAAAGTGGAAGGCGATATGGACTGTTGATCTGACTATAAAACTGTCCAGGGGAAAGGGTAGCTTCAAGATCAATAGTCAAAGTTACAAGCTCATCAAGAAATTTCCCAGCTGCAGAAGGAAGCAGGTGGAAAAGCTCGATGATAGCTGCAAAAAAGATCAACTAGGATCAATAGAATGAGGGATAGATATTTATGCATGATAGAAGAATGTACTATTTTGTGTGTGTGTGTGTGTGTCACTGATCATGTAAAATAGTGAACTCACCAGCTGCTATTTTTGGTTCCTCACCAGCCTTCCAAGACTTCTGGCTCTGAGCAAGTTTCTCAGGATCCAACCATTTCTTAAGATGCTCTAGCAATTTACCGCCTAAAGTAACATTGAACCAGTTGGACAGAAGTTCAAGCAAACGAGCTAGACCTTGCAAGAGAGGCATGCTGAGATTTTTGGTGTGCGCCAAGTTGACTAATATAGGCCTCAAACTGCTCTGAAGAAGTTCTTTTGGCATCCTTTGCTGTAGAATAACCTAAAAGATGATTGATAAAGAATTCATTTTAGAAGATCATCAGAGCATATATTAGAAAAATTAAAAAGAAACATCTTCTATTAAAACTATAGATGATTAATAATCAAAACTGAGATTCATATTCACAGCAATCAACATCAAACATAGTGTCTAACGCTCATTTATTTAAAATAGAGTAAGCTGTAATCCTAGGGACCTAGTAATCACATTTGATTAGGATGGAATTTATGGAGAACAAAATCGCACTAGAAAAATCATGAATAGAAGTATCAAAGGAATATCATAAATGACATTATGATAAGGAAAATAATCGATATGAAAGAATCTCTCGTCACCAGAAATATATGATTGTGAAATCATCAAGTAGCCAGAACAGTAACAGCTTATCTTAGTGCATCACCGAATATGCATGTCAAAGACACCCTATCTTCATTTTTTTTCCTTTCATGTGATTCTAATTTGCAATCACAGGACCAAATTAGTAAAGTCAGTCATTACCTAACCAAAATCCATGACAGTTGGAACTTAAAATTATAAACTTTACAGAAAGAAACATATGTAAGAGCACAGAATAATTTAAACCAAACACTTGACTTTCAAGTGAAAGCACATGCGTAAAACGTTTTCTACAGAGTAAGTAAAGTTAAGCTGAAACACCCATAAGGCAACTGCTGAAAGCAATAATTTGTACACCATATCCAAAATACAATAAAATATTGGGCATATAGTCTTGATAGTTCATTCAATAAAAAAGCAACTGCAGAGAACCATTTCTCTGAAACAAGATCCCAAACTTCCAACTTTGAATAACTTGAAGGAGTAAATTACAGCAAAAGTCCACCAACAAAATAAGATTTGATAAGCATAACAATTGGAGAGGACATTTTGTAACGCTGATATTGTAAATAAATATTGACTGCTTTCAAGATGAGAGAATAGGTGGTATCCAGAAAACATTATATGGATATAAACAAATAAGCTGACTAACCTGGCGTAGCCCATCCTTAGCAACAGTTACTATTTCTGGTGTCCTGCTCGTCAAGGACTTGAAAAACATGGAAATTATTTTAGCCCGTAACTCCGAGTGATTTTGAGTTTTGAAGTCCGCCCATGCCATGGCAGTGCACAATAGTTCGATGCAAGCCGTGCGGAGTTTATTCAAAGACGTAGCAACTCTTGGATTCATAAATTTCACAACCCACACAGTTTCATCGGACTCTGCTATTTGCAGAGCTTCTTGAAAGAAGGTAATAAGCTCTGGAGTTAATTTAAGAAGAGGAGGCCTCAATGCCAGGCAGAAATTCAAAGCAGTAACAGTCCCAACCTGAATGTTGCATAAAAGAAGTTAGAGACCACGTGGGGCACCACGGTATACAACAACTAGAATCTGATATTCGTATTACCTGTTGATCAACAGTTTTAGACCGTAATTGCCGCATAATAAGAGGCTGTAGCAAAGGTTGGTACAAGGGTTCGAGCAACTCAGAAACCTCACTCCCAGTCCTACTTGCCAAAAGAGCTAAAGAAGACTGCACAATCTTCCTCAAATTAATCGATGAGTTGGCATTAAATAATTCTACTGCTAGATACTCCACAACTCCTTGAAAACTTTGCCTACGTGCTTCACTGTTTCCTTCGTCAACATTATTAACCACGCGAAGAACTTGAGTGAGAACCTGACTTGTCTCTTCCTGTTCTTTAGTAGCATATATAGGAAGCCTTTTGAGAACATAAACCAGTCCACGAACAATTCTTACTTGAAAAAGACACAATATTTCAACAGTGACCTTTCCAATCAAAGCACTGAGCCCCAGAACTCCCCCCATTTGTGCTTGCCAAGTACTTCCATAGCAACAGTGCAAAAGACGTGGTAAAAGTTGTTCAAATACAGGAACGCTCACACTTGGAGGAGGCGAATATAAAGGGCTCATTGAGGGGCTGGAGACAATCATTGGAGTACCAGGACCACCCCTTGTCATCAACATATCAGAATGTTTAGAGTGAGCAAGAAACAAAAGTGTCTCAGCAAAAACATTCAATGCATTTAGAGCAGCTTTAGCATGCAGTCTATTTTCATCTGCCATCACTTCAACCAAAGCATCTAAAAAGATTAAGGAATCCAACTCTTTCAGTGAAGTAACATTTCTTGACTTTGAACTCATATTGGTATTAGATGAAAGAACAGAACCACTAAGTGATGAGGCCGAAGTTGAAGGATGAGAAGTTTGACACTCCATGTGAAATATCATAGCAAAATGGCGGCAAACATGGGCAACATATTCATCCTTGGAGTCGCACAACTCAGGTTCCACATTTGCAGCAATTATTGTCATCAAGAGAATCTTGAACACAGATTTTTCAGCCATAAGTTGGGTCTTTGTCTTGACACCTAATTCAGCCTGAATAAAATGATTTTGACAGTACAAACAAAATAAGTATTATCCACAAATTCCAGTCATAATGTACGAAGATATCACAATAGTAAAAAAAAAAAAAGAAAAAGAAAAGAAAGATCTGTCTCTTCAGTTAAGAGAACGTTTTACGAGATCTTGGTGAAGATGACTTGAACCGAAATTAGGGAACACCTTATAATCATATGAAGCATGCTTAGAGCAGAAAGAAGATATGAAGTATGAGCTTCAGAAAACTCACAGACTATAAAGGCGTTTGTTTGCAGAAAAATCTAGAAACTAGAGAATAAACAGAAAAGGAATGCCTATCAACTTAATAAGTAAGCATATATAGCAAAAGAGAACAAAAATAAAAAAGCCATGATCAACAAGCTCTTGTTGAGAAGTAAACTATAGTGGAAGATTAAAGGAATCATTAAAATCCTAAAAAAATACAAAGGGAACACTGAAACAAATTTATCATCCAGCCTACCTTTATATCAGATGTCTCCGATCTTCTCCATGATGGATCAATAGAAGATACTAGAAAAGCAGACAGCTGTCTAGATGTTGATCTGTCATCAGTAACAAGTCCAGGCAAATTGAGCTGGGATGATAAGCATGCACGAAGAAATTTAAGTGCTTGTTTTCGGTAAAAAGCTTCCATGCAACCCTTTCTGTGCATGACAGCAGCCACAGCAAGATTAATACAGCGATCTAGGGGTACTAAAAATGGTGTGGAAGGCTCAAATGTGAGAATTAACCGAAGCCCATGCTCAGGATTTTCTTTGCATTCGAGTGCAAGAGGCTCTTTGAGAAAACGTCTGTTTCGACCACCTAATTTGCCTAGAAGTTGCAATGATTTCCCTCCCCAAGGATAGGGTGCAGGCTTTAAATGAGACCACAGTGCCAAAATCACCTCAGACATGACATTTGCCATACTAGGTTCCAGAAAATCAGGATTCAAGCTATCAATCCAAAACTCAAGTGTCCTCAAACCAAGACTGACAAGGTCATCACTTCCTTTAAGACACATAACAAGAGGCTTCATTAGACGTGGGAGGTGAGGTAACAATGAACTTAACCGCGCAGGCAATGTCAAGCAAAGCTCAAGCAGAAGTTCCTGCATTTCTTCACCAGTAGGTCCCTCAAGCATTGCCTCCAGAATATTCAAACATGGCTGCAGTGTGGGAATCAAGTCGCGCAGTAGAAGTTCAAATTTACCTCCAGCAAGTGCATGAAACATTGTATGGAGAAGTTGCAAATAACCAATTGGTTTCTCAATTTCGGTAGCATTTTTCATGCAAGTTTCCATAATAACAGGCACATGAGGTTGAAGAATACGTTCACATTCAGAGGGAGCCTTCACTACGGCACTAAATAGAAACCTGAAGAGATGCAAGACAAGTTTTGCAGCAGGTGAATCTGGATGCTTCAGAACATCAAGTTTGCTGTTCACAAGAAAATTAACTAAAACATCTGCGAACGGACGAAATACTTTGGGGGCCTGCAAAAGAGCAGAAAACATGTGGACTAGCTGATTGTTGGAAATCATACACTCAAAAAGCTCGGGCATGCACAAAGAAAACATGTCCATTAAGTCTCGAGGCTCCATGATGGCCAAAATATTAGAAAAAAGATGAATCATATCCCTCTCTTCATCCTTATCCTTAAACAATGCCAAGCAATGTACACCACTCTTCAAAACACCAGAGGCTTTGCAGACCTATTAAACTCAAAAAATAAGTCATTTTGACATATATGAAACTAATAAAAGCATAAGCTGGTATTTATACTAAATGATACCTCATCTTCCCTCATCCCTTTAAAAGCTTGCGACATAGAAGAACCTGATGATGCTGAAGCAAGAACTTGCTGAGGGGTCCCATGTGTGGATGGTGAAACCTATATCATTGAAATAGCAGTATAAAATAATAGTAGACTCTGCAGGTAAATTATAGCATTACACATTCTCGCAAACCTGTGACCGGGGTATATGTGCATGTGTGATGCTCCAGATAATTGTCTTCATTCCTGAAAAAAGCATCACAACCAAATTATAGTAAGAATTTACTAAATGAAAATTAAAAGAAACAGAATTAAGTCTGGTGGTCCATGTAGAATGCCCTATAAATTCTTCACTAATAAAAGAAGTGGTATTTCATTGTATCTGGAGAAGGAATAATAATTACCCATAACTAAGGTCTTTATCAGATGCTTGCAATCACTAACTTCCTTGGAGTTCTCCACAGGGCCCGATACATTAAGAACTGCCTGCTGCAATGTAGCCCATGATAAACAAAGGAGCAAAAAATTAAAAATAAATAAATAAATAAATAACAAATTTAAACTAAGAGCATATACTGATTGATATCCAGGTAAGCAAAAGCATAGTTATTAAACCTGACCTAGGTCATAGACCTAGTGCAGGGGCCAAGCCTACAGGTCATGGCCCAAAAACAGCGTTTCGGACGTTAAAAGTTGGCAAATAATATCAAACCTATGAAAGCATGGCCCCATCTATATCCACAGGCAAGGAGCATACTGATCACATTATGAACATGATTGAGATAGAAGACCTTTTAATGTGAAAAAATGAAACATTTATAAAAATAGAAGTATCTATAATAACATTTTAGAGACTAATTACTAAGATGTGAATGATCATCACTTTTGATTCAAGTAGTAAGTATTCCTGGAAAATTAGGCATGGTCAAAATAACATTGAATTTTTGGAAAAGTTGGAAGTGATAAGAAGAGATTGGGAAAGCAAAACAATATGAAGTAGCAACAATGGACAATGATACTGCATGAACCATGTGGTTCGAACAGTCTGGATAATCTCAGTCAGGGATTCATGGCTTCATTAGAGCTTTTCATCAATATTTTGCAGCATAACAAGCACAGACAGGTTCTTCAAACCCAGATGGCACAAAATTTTATGAAAGCGAGGTCAGGTCATAGATGTGACTAGATCAATAGATTACTCAGAACAGGTCCAGCTAATGTCTGGTTCATTGAATGAACTTACTGTCCAAATGGACCATGCCAGGATGTTTTATTAACTATGAGAAAATTACTCCCCAGAAACATCCTACCAACAAGAAGTTTTTTAATAAAAATAATGTTGTCAAAAAATTAAAGCAGTGGCAATGCCAAAGGTGCATATCTTTTTATCAAAGCTCACAAACAGCAGAACTTAATCCATGAAATCAAGTACAAGATGTACAACCAATTTATTTTCCATGGTAAAATATGTATTGATGATAATTCATGAGGAAGAATAAAACGTCCAAAACAATGAACAATTCAACTTCATAGACTGCTGTCTCGAAGGATCTGCTCTTCTAGTCGCGTGGACTTCCGTATTATCCGGAAGATTGAGACTGAGAATAGTTGGATAAATTGTTTTAGCATCACTATTCTAATGGCAATAAGGAAGGAAAAATTAACTGCTCGAGTGAAACCCAAATCTAATAAAAACTGGAATGATAAAGATAAAAACACAAACAGCTCCTTTTTTCCCCTTCTGAAACAAACAGCTTATTAACAAACTAGAGAAATTTGATGATTAAACAGAAGAATAAAACTACAAGTGCCAACTTACCTGTACTGGAATTTCAAGTTTTGACCTCAAGGTAGAACGGCTTTTTCCCTCATCTGCCTCTTCCAGTAGCTATGACAACAGAGAAATGCACTATCCGTCAAACAAATATATAATCATTTTTTGGCAAGTTAACTTAATTCTAGAAAACAGGAGAAAGAGCACAGCTTGCCGACATTTGGCATCACAAGCAAGAAAAGATGTGAAGAACAAGCAGGGCTGAAAAGAAATTTGCCAAAAAGCTGATAAATCCAGTAACTCTAAAAGTCAGGTAAACACAGTATTAGTTCATAAAAATCCACACAAATGTCTAATAATTAAATTATTGGAGATATAAAATGAAAAATCTTACATTTTCCAATGTTCCATCACACACAGTTTCACTTTGCCCTACTCACTTCCTCCAATCTGGACAGCGACTCTCTCATGATTAAATTATTTCACTTAACCCCCTCAAATATTGAAATCACCCAAAATTATCACTGCTGTTAGGCTGTCCATGTGACCATGGAAAATGACTGCAATGCCCAAACTTAAATTTACATCATAAACTTACAAACAACCGCCATGCTGTATATGTGCGGTGGTAGCATCTCTATTCTTCCTCAATGGATTTCTGCACTTCCAACAGCTCACTATGTATATGGGTTGATGTCCCTTACTCTCACTCATTCTCTTCTATACACTCAGCATTACTTAGCCCCTGTTGGCCCCCATTAAAAGTATAATCCATTTTTTCCCTCTTATCAACCACATATTCTCCAATAAAATGATATTACACGTAACCTTAAAACTTTTGCTTCTTTTTCAACCACACATTCTTCAAAAAATTATCATTCCAAAATATATTTTTCCCAAATTCTCATTATAACGAGGGCCAAGCAAGGGCTTAATGTTACACCCCATTTTATACGTGTCAAACGTCAAGATTTCTTATTTTAAGTCAAAGGTTCAACTAGCTAAATTCAAAGCCAATTCGGGACTTAAATTGAATTAAGTCATTTTATTGGGATTTATTTTGCAATTGGCAATACTTTAAGATAGATAAAATATAAATTTGGGAATTTACTTTTCTATTATTAGAAGTTAAGTATTCAATGTCATATTATATGAAGGTTGAAGGACTTGGTTGCAATTTTGGAAGTTAGTAGGGCATTAAGTATCATTTTTGGAGCCCATTTCTCACTATATACAAACAGGATGCTGAGCACCGAACCAGAGAGGAGAAAACTGTGGAAAAAAGAGGAAGAAAGAAAAAGAAGAGGGGAAAAGAGGTATTTCAAGCTTCATTTTCATTCTTCCCTCTCTTTATTTTCTTCAAGAGGCAGAGGAAAATTTTATGTTAAAGTTGCTAGGATTAATTTGTTGGTTTAATTTTCAAATTAAGGGAAAGGAGTACAATTTCTAGCTCAAGATTCTCAATTGATTTGTTTCCATTTGTATCAAGGTAAGTGATATCATTTTTAGCAAACCCTAGAATTTATAATTGGGTTCTTAAGTAAGAATATTTGGTGAAAATGATTATGCTGATGGAATTACTCACATGAAAACATAAATTTAGGGAACAGGAGGAAAATTAAATTGGTTGAGTTGTTGGTGCTAGTTTTCACTAGATTGAAAGGTGTTAATATTTTTATGATTAGGATGAAGGTAAATTTGGATAAGGTAAAGATTAGCGAAAGGAATAGAAAGCATAATTGTCAAAGGAAATTGGAGAATCTATTCAAAGTACTAAGGAATCGAATTTTGCTCCATATTTAAATATTAAGGGTACTTGGTATGTTAAGTGTTGAATTGGTTATTTTGTATCGTATTTCAGGTGGTGAGGAAGAGATTGGAAAAGCTCACCGACCATCCTAGTATATAGAGGTGGGCAAAAACCGACCCAAACTGACTGACCCGACCTAAACCCCAAACCGAGCGGTTTGGGTCGATTTTTGCAATGAAATGGGTTGGGTTCGAGTTATTATTTGCTATTTTTTGTCGGGTTGGGTTGGGTTATGGGTTACCCTTTAAACTCGATCCCAACCCGACCCGTATGGAAAATTAATTTACAATAAGGTCTTGAAAAGTGAAAACAAAAAACGTGTATTTCCTTCATCCCATTTCCATTTCCCCTTAATGAAAACCCTAGCCTCCTCTAATCCAGCACAAGAAATCCCAAACGCAGCTTTTTTCTTCTGCCTTTCTCGTCGTTGTAGACACCGTCAGTCTCCCACACCACCATCCACGGCTAGGGGACCTAAGCACCTAACAATAGATCGGTTTTTAACCAAGGTGAGTTTATTTTATTTTATTTTTTTTTTTTTAAACGCGGATTAAATTCTTTATATAGTATTTGAAAATGAGGTTATGACTTTTATTCTTGTTTTTGTTAATTCATATGTTTTGAAATATTTTTCTGACCTATGCCGATGAATTTCTACGGTTGTGCAATGTTTGATTTGTTAAGGAATTGGGTAGTGGAAAAAAGATGGAAAACATAATTTAAAAAATAAAAAATAAATAAATAAAATTCAAAGTTTCTTCTAAGCATTATTAATCTGTAGATTTTAAAGAACTTGTAGAAAAATTACCAATTGATTATGGTTTATTATTTAGTAAGTTTGGGTATTTATTGATAATCATAGTTCCATTTCAATTTTATGGTTCTTAGAAGACCAAAATTGAAGTTTATGCTTGATTTTGCTTACTTTCCCTTCAAAAAATGAAGAAACACGGTCTATGTTTGGATATTAATAAAAAAAAGTTTATCTTTTTAATTTATGTTGCTTCTATTTGGAATAAAAATCTACTTTTGGAGGATACATTCTTCTAAACTGTGCTATTCTTTCTCAATATAGGATATTCTTTTCAAAGTCAACGATGCTTCAAAGACTTTTCCTCTCCTCACTCAACACACAATCCCCAACTTTGAATGTGGCGTATAACAGGTTGGTGGAATTTATTTTATCTTTTATGCCAGCTTCTTGCTCTTTTATCATCTATATTATTTTAAACATTTTATATGATTTCTTGATTTGGTCTTAGTGTGTAATTATCTAACTGTCTTCCTCATTTTCTTTGCATTTTGATCAATGGATGGACAAACAAAATTCCATTATTTAAATTAAGTATAAAGAAGACATCAAGACCCAAAAATTGGATAACTTTAATCTGCATTAACAAGTTGCCCAAACCGACCAACCTAATCCAACCCGACCGATACTTGATTGGGTTGGGTTGGGTTGGATTTCAACCTCTACACGGGTTGGGTTAGATTTCCATCAACCGATCACCTTGGGTTGGGGAAAAATTAACCCGACTCGACCCACGCCCACCCCTACTAATATGTCGCTTGTATTAAGAGAGTGTAAGAACTTATTTTTCAGAAATAAGTATTTATTAAATTTATATTAGAACCGAGAGTTATTGATTTCATATAGTTGATTTGACAGCATGATTTTCACAATAAAATGAATTTTATAATCAGTTCCTTTTAAAAATTAAATTCAGGTCAGTTAAATCATTTCATTGACAACAATATTTGTATTATGTTTCAGTGCATTTAAAGTTAATTTAAAAACCACTAGAAAGTACCCAAATGATTTTATCCGCTCTTCATCGGTGTGAATGTGTTTCCACATTGCATGACCAGTATGGTGATTTTATGAGCTCTGCACTATTGTGAATGTATTTTTATAATGTTTGACCATATTATAGCCTTTGGGCATCTTTGCATGTTTCAGAATTACAAAATTGATTAGCTTTGTCATGTATATTGATAATTCATCGATATATGAGAATGGTTATTACGGGTACCTTTTTCATGTGATTTTTTAGTATTATACAACTTATCAAAATTCAGACTACAGAATTTAGTTTATTCAGTTTACAGAATAAAGATTTCAACTTATACCCCTATGAAAGGATATTTTTACTCATATATTGATACCAGATTTCTTATCTCCATTATACCTTACAATTATTTATTTAGAATAAAGAATAAAAATTTAATGATTCTATTACGCTTTAGTCTTTAAAGTATTATCAGATTTCAAAATATTTTAAAGTTGTACTAGAATAAGCAAGAGCTTTCAATAAATATGTATAAATGGGGAAAAAAAAAGTATACTTATTTTCGAACTATCCACTCATAGGCTTACAAGCTCATATATTTTTCACCTTTTTTATTATCAAATAGTAGCTGAGTTAAGTAGCTTTGGAGCCTAGGGATGTCAAAAAAGCTCGGTGGCTCGGGCGGCCCGTTGCTCGGCTCGGGGAAAGCCCGAGATGATAGATAGGAAATACCTATTCCCACCCGATGTGGGATTACTAGCAGGACCCCACAGATCAGAATGCACATATTCAAGCATGCTTTTAGCCTTATGCGTACTAGTGGAGAACGACACTCTATGGTGCTTTCTAAGCATACAGTGATCACAGAACGATAGGTCAGACACACAGTCATTATTACCAAATGCACCTTTTTCATTAAGTAGCTTAAGTCCTTTAATGCTTACGTGTGCAAGCCTACTATGCCACGTATGTTGTGATCGATTTTGGCGGAAGAAATAGAGGAGTTTAATCCTCTAATCACTTCCCCAGTAGTGATGTAAATGTCATTTTTCTTGATTCCCTTAATAGAGATTAACGCACCCTTCATCATTTTAAACATACCGTTTTCAGTTTTACCGGTGAAGTTGTCTTTCTCAAGTCTTCCTACTGAAATTAAATTCCTAGATAATTCCGGAATGTATCTAACTTCCTTTAACATGTACACAAAGCCTGTGTTAAATTTTATCTTTATGTCTCCAATTCCAGCAATTGTATAGGCGAAGTTATCACACAGAACTAGGGATGTCAAAAAAGCTCGGTGGCTCGGGCGGCCCGTGGCTTGGCTCGGGGAAAGCCCGAGCCGGCCCGGCTCGTGGCTCGGACCAACAGAGCCAAAGCTCGGGCCGAGCCCCAAAAAGGGGCAATGGCCCGAGCCCGGGCCGGCCCGTGGATTGACGGGCCGGCCCGTTTAATTTAAAACAAAAAATAAAAAAAAATAAAAAAAATAGGCTGCCGGCAGCAGGTAGTCTAGCTGCCAACAGGCAGCTTTATAATTAAAGCTGCCTATTTGGCAGCAATTAGGAGAAAAAAAAAAAAAAAAGATATCAAAACACGAGCCTGCTCGGCTCGACCCCGGCTCGGCTCGATAATGCCCGAGCCAAAAGCTCGGGTCGAGCTTTATTTTTTTTGAGTCGAGCCGGCTTGGCTCGGCTCGGGCCCAAAAAAGCCCGTATTGAAAAAGCTCGAGCCGAGCACGAGCCGGAAGTTTCGGCTCGGCTCGTTTACACCCCTATTGGAGCCTGTCGATCCATCGAGTCGAGTATGACTCGTTTTGCTAGTTTACGCAGTCCATATTTCTTTTAGAGCATATGCTTGTGACGTTGGATAAATCATTTTGGGTTTTAATATTATGGGCTCGCCGCATATGTTGTATATTTAGGGCATTTAGCTTTTGTTTGGAAAGAATAGTAAATGTCAATTTGCCAACATTTTATTTTGAATAGCTTGCGTTTTTTGAAGGGCTGGTATATCCTACTATAATATTATATGTACATGTTTGAGGAAATCAATTGCTTTTCAAGTGGCTTTAGTCCATATTAGAAAAGAAATTCTGTCAAATTTTCTATAAATCATAGTCAAAGAAGGTCAAAATTGCCTTGGTGGTGGATCCGGCACTTAACTGGTATCTAACATCGACATATCGAGTCCACTAGGATAATTCAAGATGGATCGTGTCACATAAAGTACACTCACAACACTGAAACCGCCAATCTAGTGGCACAAAGCTTCGTTAATAGTCCTTTGTGGACTTTGTCGTGTACTATAAAGTTCAACTCTCGTATACATGACAAGCTACTATTTTCCAACTCTATCACTTTATCTTAATTTCCAACTTTATCTACTTCTCTATTTTATTCCTGATCATTCTAGTAGTTCTACTTTTGCAATTTGTTTCTCAGTTCAGTTTCCTTTTCTTTTTTTTTTTTTAAAGAATATCGCACAGAGAGAAAAGTAGAATGTTTAGAATGTTACTTTCTACCAGCAAACACTAGTAGCTTCAGAATCAAATTGGAACATACAGTAGACTATTTTGTCACACTATATATATAAGCTCTCTTGTCACACATATTTTTGCTTAAAGAAAAGGGTTCAGAAATTCTCTAAAATAATGGTAAAAGAATGTCAACCAATAGGAGCATAGAACCATACAAAAACAAAACTAAGAAATGCTGAAACTATCTCAAAACCATACAAAAACAAAACTAAGAAATGCTGAAACTATCTCAAAAGTGAAAGAACGGACAAAAAGGATCCAAATGTCTATTAAGCACACAATTACAGCATCTAATGTAAAGTTGAAGTACCTGAGGAATGGTGCGCTTAAAAGTATTAAATTTACCGACAAAAGCATCCAAAATCCGGCCCTGTAAAATGGGGAAATGAGTAACTACCAGAAGAATACTCCTCTGGCACAAGAAAGCAGGTGCCCTTCAGGAACTGTAATAAGAGCATCAAGAGACACATACCAATAAAATTCGTGCTTCATCCATCGTTGTCTGGTCTATGCCTTTCTCAAAAATCGGTTCCACCTATATGCATGATGAATAAATATGCTAATCAATAATGAACAACTCTAGAAATACCTTTATCTAAGATTGGCTGTGCTACTGGAAGGCAAAATAAGATTGATTAACTCAAGGTTCTAGAAGATAATTTGAAAAGCTCACCAGATTCAACATTAACCGAGCACAAGTGGTATGAATGCTGAGAGACAATGAAGCATCATGCATGTTGCTTGAGAACAGGTAAATAATCCGTGATAGCTGCACCTCAGTGATACAGTAGATCAATAAAGTATAATGATAATTAGACGAGGAATTGATAGGGTCCATATTAATTTTCTTTCATCAGTGCAATTTGTAAGTCAACAAAATATCCAGAATACATGATGTGCCAATTGTCGGCAAGTACTTATCTCCATTTCAGGTTGAATTACTGTTTTCCCTTATTCGAGCCTCCCTCCCTCGGTGGTGGGGGTAATGATAATATGGTGGCAGATTGCTCTTTACTATAGGCGCAGAGAGAAACTTAAATGTTTATATGTTTCTCTTTTGTGTTTGCTTTCTTTTGTTTTTTAAAATGGCACGCTCGAGCAAAAGTTATAATTTAGAAAATGATACAACTCAAAAACCTCCCCTGAAAACTGATCCAAGTTAGACCCACCAAATATTTTACCAAATGAAATTGTACAGCATGAGGCACAAAAGAGGCAAAATACAAGCAAGCTACGTGGTCCAAGAGATAAAAAGCATCAATGTAATTACATAAAGACGAATACCTGAGACAAAGAAAGATCTCCCCTGACATGATGCACAATCTCTGCCAGAAGACTATATGCTAAAGGCCTTAATGTCTCAAAGCAGGCCCGGCCAGTTCCAACAAGGACCCTGATGGAGTTCAATTCATCAATTTTACAATTACTTCAAAATGAGAAATTTAAAAACAAAAACCCGAAAAAATACACACAAACTTTTGTATGGTATAAACTAAATCAACATTAAAAACTACAGCTGCAGATATAAGCAAAATAAATGTCAAGAGAACATAGAAACTGATAAGCAAATTCCAATCTTAGCTATTTGATTTTCGTCATCATGACTACAAAGTTAAAGCACTTTACGTCAGCCAACCTTGACAATTGACAAAGCAGCTATAGGAAATAATTCAAGGATGCCAAAAGAACTAGACAAATGAATACCAATCAATCTACCCTTTATGCAAAGAATAATACATATTAAACAAAAACAGAAGCTGGCACCCTAAAAATGTTTGTTCAGAAGCAATGATGTGCCTGATATGATTATTTCCTTTTGAGAAATATTCCCTACATATCCGCTGGTGAATTAATAATAAGAAAAAAGAGATTTTCCCAAATTAATCAACATGGTATCAGAGCTAGGGTTTGAGAGTTTTGAAAATTTGTGGATTGTTCTAGGTAGTGATGGCAAGACTTTGGGTCGGTAATTTTGGTGGAAGAAAACCAACACTTACCTAGGTCACTCGTTGGCGGGAAAGATCGGAAGAAGCTTCAATGGTGGTGCAACGAGCGTCTTCTTCTTACTTTGCAACGAGCATCGTCTGCTTTGGGTTCCATTGGGTTTGAGCAAGTTGGTCTACTTCATGTGACAGTCGCCACCTCTCGCTGTCGATATGTGTGGCGATCAATGAAAGGAGTTCGTGAAAGGCACGTTGGCTTCATCATGTCATCTTTCTCCTACTGTGGGTGAATCAATTGAGAGAAACCGGTGGAACTTGGCTGTCTAGGAAGTCTACCAGGCTTGGGTCAATTTGGATTCAGATTTCATCGGTCTGTGTTTGGGCCTTTATCCAGTGGGTCAGTTTGTTTGGGCTATCATCCTTTTAGGCCTTGATTAGTGGGTCCGTTTTCTTTTATTTGGATTGGATTATTATGTTTGGGCTGCTGCTTTATTAGACTTGCATTATTATTGGATAATTTGAGTTGCTTTCTTTTGTGTCTTTTCTGGTCATCTTTTAATCATGACTGAAAGTGATAAGAAAGTGGTGAATGAAATCACGGTAACCCCATCCTCTAAAATCACAAATAGAAAGTTAACGAGTAGTAGGAATTATGCTCAATGGAAGAGAATTGTTCACAGGTATGCATCAAGTGTAGATTTGGGCGATCACTTGACTTATGACCCACCTCCACAATCTGATACTAATCTTGGGATTCAAAAAAAATGGATGATGGATGATGATAAACTTTTTAATCAAATTCAATACACCCTTGACCCGACAGTTGACAATGTCATTAATCATTATGATGCTATTAAAGAATTGTGAGACTATCTAAAATTTTTATATGCGAGTAAACAATATGTATCGCATGTTCATGAAATGATGTTAAAGATTTATCGGACTGAGCAGAAGGGGCAAAATATGTTTCAATACTATACTAAAGTAAAACAGGCATTTGAAGAAAGCGGGCCATGATTACTATTACTAATTATGTGAAGACAATGCATGAACAAGAACATATTGTGGTCAAGTATTTTCTTGCAGATTTGGCTAATATTTAGTTATTTACCAGTGAGGCACTACCTTCGTTAGGTGAGATATATGCTCGTCTCCTTCGGGTATGCAAGGACAATAACAAGGAACATAGGGTAACACTAAATGAGACAGTAGCTCTAGTCAGCACAAATTCAAAGATAAATTGCAATCACAGTATCGAAGGAGGAGGAAAGGAGGTAGTCAAGATAGAATCTCTAGTAGTTCTCGTGGTTGTTATTATTGTGAGAGCAAGGACATGTAAGAAGCAACTGTTGGAGATTAAACGGCAAACCAGCAAATTACACAAGTCAGACTTCTATGAGAAAATTTGCCAATGTTGCTACTCAGTATGGTCTTTAACAACTCCAAGTCATTTCTTTTGGAATTGAAGATTTTACTTGGGCAATGTACTTGGAGATGAAGGGAATTTCATTACTGCATTAACACTTAAATTTAATGAGCTTTCTCAACATTGTTGGGGTTCTCAGATTTGATTCTTTATTATATAAAACCATACTCATTATGATTTTAAAGCGAATTTAGATCACTTTATGACTTCTAAAACAAAGATCTGTAATTGATTGTTTTTAGATGTAAAAATGGCACAAAAGGTTAAGAGATGCCAAAAAAACTCATTCAACCCAATGCTCGCGGACCATGCCCCTCCCCAAATGGGGCGAAATTAACTATCTAACCAGGTAAAGGAGGCGAGTCATTGCCTCGAAGCGTGTATGGGACAGGAACGGGAAACATAATCCCCAACCAACCCATCCCGTTTAATATTAACTTCAAATTTAAGTTTTTTATCAAACAAAAATCATTTATAAACCCGTCTCTCTTCTCCATTTCCAGAAATGGATCTCTCTTCCCTACCATCCAAACACCACACCCTTAGCCAGCCTCCGAACACCCCATGACCACCGATCGCTACAGTCGCCGGCGACCGCAACATCACGTCGATCGGCCAATCCCCATTCACCAGCCTTACGCCACTTAATAAGCCACATAATCAGGCGGCAGCCCTAGGTGGAAACCGTAGCACCGCCGCCCTAGCTGGAGACACCGACGCCGAGATCGGAGTAGAGGCCGGAACACAGGGATGCCCAATCCAGATTCAGCAAAATCCGGCCACCTGCCTGGCAAACACGCCTGACCGGCGTGCTGCGCAGGCAATTCCGACGAGGGGGCGGCATTAAGGGACCCACGCGCCGCCGTGGCAGTCACGCGTCGGGGCCGAAAAACCAGAATGACGGGCAAAATGTCCCCAGTCCAATAACGATGCCTGTTTTGCCGTCTAATATGCCGTTCACACACAATCAGGGAAGGAAGCTAGTGGATGAATTCGATGTGGCCTTCAATCGCAGTTTTCGAGTTGAGGCGAAGGAGTTTGCAATTTCTATTACCAATCTTGGTGCTGTTAGATTGACCAAATGGGGCTCGAAGATATCGAATGCAATTAGCATGGGAAGGTTCGGTGCACTTTGGATGGTGAATATGGTAGACAAGTTGAGGGTGACTAGTAAGCATGAGGATTTCGTTTCTAGGTTCAATAAGTCATCAAGAGCCTTCTTAGCACAGCGTTGTGCGAACCGCCGTGGTAGATACTTGATGATAGCGCAGTATTGGGATAGACGTCGGAATGGAGTTGTCATGGCGCCAGAAGGTGCGAATGGAGAAGGATGGGCATCAATCTCGCAGGTGTTTCAAACTGTTGTTGATTCTTTTGTTGCTACGGATAAAGCCAAACGTCGACCGGTGAATGAACGTAATCGACAAAAATTGACTTATGCAGACGTAACAACAAATTTACATGCCTCGAAGCATGTTGACCAACGGAGGCAACAGCAAAAGGAGATGACTGTCAATGTCAGTGTAAACGAAGGTCAGGATTGTTGTTTGAATAAGGCTGAAATTATGGCCCGTGTCGAGGAATTGAAAGGAGCGTTCGAGGAATTGATTAGGCTAGTGGGAAGTGGGTATGAAATGGGTCCCAAGAAGTTGTTATGTTGCCACAAGTGTGGGGTGGGTATCGATGAGTATCCAGCTGTTGGAAAACAAGCATCGGGCTTGAATAAGAAGGAATCGGCACATAATCAAGTTAAGCAGGGAAGATTCGAAATCACATGTGAGTCGATTGATCGGATTGAAACGGATGAGGGACACTCTAAACATGACAAAGGTAATGTCTTAGAGGGGATGGATATGGATGATGTAGACACGGGGACCGATGTAGACCAAGAGGTTGTACCTTTGTCTAAAGAAGGGGAGCCGAATATGGTGAACTTGGAGACAGTAACGATGGATGCAATGGACACAGTCCCACACGATGACGGGCTTTTACTAGGTGACCAAGGGACGAGGCATGTACTGTCGGAGGATCTAGTTACCTCAAGAGTGATAGAGCACAACGCGACACCTTTGACAACAAGGGTTGCGAATGCATATAATAGAAGGAACTCTAAGTCAATGAAGGTAAGTGACTTGGGGACGGAAAAAGCACTGGTGGTGTGGGTAGATGGAGCCAAGAAGGGAGAAATAGAAAGTGATGTTATACAGGTGGAGGAAACAGGGGATTTGATTGGATTCGAAACTGGACACCCACCTTCGAACTGGGTTCTACAGAAAATTCAGGATTTCAATAAGTTAATAGGCGTGTCTTGCGATGATTACGAAAACAGATTACTACAATTATTTGAGGATTTGGAGGCCTATAGGGGACAGGAGATGAGTAAACAAGAAGGCAAACTAAGAAGTAAGGGCGATCGTGAACTTAAGAGGCTCGAATTGTCAATTAATTATGATGGCAAGGGTGGTGAGTCCAAGAATGGAGTACTAGGGAGTGATGCCGGACTATTAAAATGATACCACGAATCATTAGCTGGAATGTAAGGGTACTTAATGAAGTTGGGAAAAGGATGGGTGTTCACCATCTGCTAAGGGACTGGAGAGCGGATCTTGTATGCTCACGAGAAACCAAGATGGAGGTTAACTCGAGCGCGGTGGTCAGTAGCTTATAGGGGGAACAGCATGTAGGGTATCAGTTTATGGGACCATCTGGGGTTTCTGGAGGCATATTAGTCATGTGGGACACAAGAGTGCTTGAGATGGAGGAGGTGAGTGTAGGATTGTTCTCAATATCGATGTCGTTCAGAAACATTGGGGATGGATTTCAATGGATGGTCGTAGGTGTTTATGGGTCTAATACTGATGACAGTAGACGGGACTTGTGGGATGAACTAGCTGGAATGATGGCTTAGTGGAATCTACCAACGTGTATAGGAGGTGACTATAATGTGGTTCAATTTCCTATTGAGAGGTCGAGCCGTGGGAGACTCACGGGGGCTATGGAGGAGTTTTCAGACTTTATAAAGGA